CTAAGCAGGCACTTTAATCCACTGAGCTATCTGGCTGGTCCCTATTTTTTCATTCTTGAGACAGGGTCTTGCCCTATGCTGCCCAGGTTGGGGCAGAACTTTTGATCCTCCTGCATCATTCTTGAGAGTAGCTGGCATTACAGGTGAGCACCACCACCACATCCAGCTGGCAACATTTTTAAAAGTAAATGTGACTAATCATAGATTTTTGATTCTGAAACATAAAATATAGATAAATCTCTTTGAGAGCAATCTTTATAATCCAATAGTCAAATGTAAGATCTCATTTGCTTAAGGAGACAAAAAAAAAAAAATCCTATAGATTATAATTAGTCCAGCTACAGGATTTGCTTCCATCAGAGCAGAGTTCCAGGGTGGGAAAAACTGCTTTGTGTCCCTATCATACTTTGCAAACAAACTAGAGTAAAATGAACACCCTAAAGGAAGTTTTGACTTACAGTAAATGGAAAGATTGCCAGTACAAATCAATAATAACTGCATTAAAAATTTGGCCCTTTTAATTCAAGGAAACATAAACTTCAGTGGCAAAGAATATGGCTCATAATAGACATTTTACATCTTGTAAGAGAAAATAAAATAAATATGTATTGTTCTGTACTAACAACATGTTAATCCTTGAGGAAAAGGATAAAAAGAAAAAAGGAGAAAAGATACATTTATGTATATACGAAGGATAGTTTGGATAACTGCACTGCCAGCTTCTGCTGGTCTTTTGAAAGAAGCAGCTAATGCTTATTTTTTTATTTTTATTTTGCTTTTTAATTTCCTATAACTTTTTGTTGGTGGTGTTTTGTTTTTTTAAACCAATTTTACACATTTATATCTGGTAATCTAAACAACCAATTTGAAGATAACATCATGCAATACAGCAACCATTGTTGAATTCTGATTACCTTAATTAAATTTTGTATTGTTTCTAACACTTTTTAAAAAACTATTTTGGATTTTTTTAAAAAAAATTAGTATGTATTAATAGAAATCCTAGTTGTAATAGAAATTTTTAAAGGTTTTCTTTTCTTTTTCCATTTATGTACTTGGTCCAGGGCCTCACTACGCTGTTTAGACTCATAGTGATCCTCCTGTTTTCAGCCTCCCCAGTGCTGGAGGATTACAGGCACGCAGTGCACCCTGGGGGCAGGGCCAGCACAGTACGCACTACCAGGGATCAAATTTGGGATCTTACGTTTGCCAGGCAGGTGCTTAGACCACTGAGCTATCTCCCAGCCCCATGTCTTGTGTACCTTTTCTCAGTCTTTCAACTACTTAGAAAAGCAACATTTCCCAAAATCCGAAAACAAATTTGGTCACCTATTACATTAAATAATTTCAACCATTTATACAAAGTAATGTAGTCTTTTGGGTTTCTGTTAACAAAGCAAAACAAAAGTCCTTCACAGCATGTGTGAGGCCCTAGATTCAATCCCTACTACTGCAAAGAGAAAAAAGTACTTCATGAGAATAAATAGTTAAATGACTAATCTGTCTTTTGTGGAATATAATTCATTCCTATGCTGTCTATTAGTAATATCTCATCTACTCTAATTACTCCAAAGTTCAATACTACAAATGTAGAGATTTTCTAGTTCTCATCATTTTTTCTCTTAATATGCTTTCAAGATGCTACATACAATATTACAACTGTTATTTCAGATTTATGACTGCAGTTCAAAGTAGAGGCTACATTAAAGGCCATGTTTTAAATTTTTTTTAAATCACTGCCCTTGAAGTTTTAACAAAAGTTATGTTCCAAAGTTTAAAATTAAATATGCTGATTTCTGTATTTTGTAAGTAATTCAAGGGTTTCACTGAAATTTCTTCATAGGCTAAAAACCCTTGAAGAGAGCGAATCCAATAAAGCTTTAGACTACAGGTTTAGATTTCAAAGGTTTAATGTAAAAAAGTTTTAGAGAAATCTGAACAAACTTTTTGTGATCAGGCAATGAAAATATTTACAATGAACAGTTTTTGGTTTTAGTGTTGGCTAATCTAACAACTTTTTAAACTCTAATGTATACATGGTCCCATGTTATAACACAAATACTTATGGAAATACTGACATAAAGAGATACATTGTATGTTTAATCTAGTATTAGCCAGTCAATACATAACATATTAACAGAAGAAGTTAATGTCCATACTTGAAAGGAATTTGACTTATCACAACCAACAAATCAAAAGTCACAACAACAAACAAAACGAAACAAAAAACCTACTCACATAAAAACAAGGAAGTATTTCCTAAAGTAATATTTTTTAGTACTGATTTACAATAATAAATTTAGGTAATTTTTTAATGCCATTGACAATCAAAATAAAACATAGTTGCACATAGCTCTTAACAAGTCATTTTGGCATGCATGACAAACATTTACCAAAATTAACAAGGCAATGTCAAAATAATTTAGAACAAAGGTAATTAATGACTTTCACTATGGTTAAAGGCTACATATGTTTTAAAACTTCAAAGTCCCTAAAAAGATATAGACTTAACTATGTTTAAAAACATGTTTGATTTGGAATGATATGAACGCGAAGAAATAAAAGGCGACTTTGTTTAGAAAATCATAATATATTCCACATGTGAGTTAAATGGGTTTTTCTTTATTCAAGTAAGCATTCTGATTATAATACAAGATAGTAGAAAATCATGTGACAAAGTACTGTAGTCTGTGGTTTGGTGTCTACTCCTTGCCTCTAGGATGCGTATTTTTCTATGTGACTCTTCAGTCTGACTTCCATACCCAACACAGGTTTTCCAGTGGTAACGCAGGGCTCTAGAGGCCACTGCTCCTATCTTCCTTCAGATGCTGTGTGCCATTTTCTCCCACCCAGTTTATTATCCATTACCTGTAAAAACCCTGCTCTAAAATTCAACCTATGTTATAAAATTAATAAAATCAGAAAAAAAATAAAATCAGGAGTTAGTATATACATTTCTCACAAAGATAAAATGAACTGAAACTCATAACTGAATCTTATCCTTTTTAAAGGATTTATATAATTTCTAAAGAGTAGAAGTAATACTTAACACAAAATATGCAAAGAACTTTATCATACTGGGTGTAAATAATATGTTGAAAATTCCTAATGGTCTCAAAAACTTATACTCCTGGAATAGCAATTTTCCACTGCAAACCATAGTTTACAAACAGAAGGCTGTATTTTAATAAATAGAAAAGATAGAGTACAGTACTTGATTTGGCATAAATATTATGAGATCATTTTTACTAATAAAGTGCTTAATTAAAAATGTTCTAAATGATTTGATCTGTCAAAGGCACAAAATGTCTCTTTCACTTTAAAATATTTTTATTAATATTCATTTCAATTTTACTTAATTGAAAAGCTATATTTTTCTTAGTAATTAAAAAAAGTTCTTGAAGACTGACATTTAATTTTTATTTTCAAAACTGTCATGAACAAACATAAAACAATAAATTTGATCCCCTCCTTAGCTCTCTGTGTGCTATGGGGCACTTGTGACAAAAACATACATAACAGGGCAAATGTTAACAGAGAATCAAAGTATTTTCCAAAAGGGAGCACGGTAGGGGAAATCAATAAATTAAAAAATCGTAACTTTCATTTTATAAAAAATAGTTTAAATTATCTTCTTATAAATCTTTAATGCTTACAAAAGCAGGAATACATTTAAAATAGCCTTTTTTCCCCACACAGATTAATTTGTACAATATGGTTATGGTCAGAAATCAACTAAATGATATTCAATAGTCTACAATCTCTTCTGAGTAAATTCCACATGAAATTTAACAAATTTACCATTCAAAATAAAATTTTTAACTGCCAACAAGATTAGATTAGTTAGCTTCTGAATATCAAGCTCTCTTTCATTTTATATACTGTACCACAATTTAAATACAGTCCAATGATAGGTACTGGTAGCAATACCTGACTGCACAGTTACCACCCTTGACTACTACCCACAGCTTAAAACATACTTTGGTCAGAAAATTAAAAAGACATAAATCAAATAACAAGGCTAGAGAAGTTGTTTGAGAACAAATTTCCTGATGTTAAGTAAACTTTAAATAAATTGACAAGACAAAGGAAAAATATGAACAAACATACGAAAGGCTTCTATTTTTCAACCATTTGGCATTTTATATTAGTAACTTCCTTGCTTCAAATAATATTTTATATTCCTGTGCAATGATTATCACAGTTCTCTGAATTAAAACCCAGCTATAATTACCTTCTAGAACATCCAACAGCCTATGCATTAATTGCTCCTTTTGCACTTCCATGAAGATGGTCCTTCATCTTGTAACTTTTTAAGTTTTGGTCCAAGAAAGAACCACCAACAAAATCCAATGAACACACAAATAATGGATTCCACATAATAACCATCCAGTGCGGTAACACATGAGCCACCAAGTTTTTTGCAAAACTGTAAAAATTAAATTATAATAAGTATTTCATAATTTCAAAAACACAGTATTCAAAAATTAATGTTTTTACTTTGTAATTTAAAGGTTTAATAAAATTTTTGTTAAAATATTTCAATACTTCACTCACTTCAAATGACAAAATATTTTAACATATCTTAATCATTAATTCTATTTACAGGGATAAAAGCAATTTTGAAAAAAAAAATTTTTTTTTTTTTTTGGTCTTTTTGAGATGGGGTCTTGCTATGCAGCTTAGGCTGGCCTTGATCTCACTATGTAGTCCAGTCTGGTCTGGAACTCGCAATGGACTTTTTTTTTTTGGCAGAACCAAGGATTGAACTCAGGCCCTTGTGCTTGCCAGGCAAGCACTTATTCTACTGAGCCATCTCCCTAGCCCTCGCAATGGACTTCTTGCCTCAACCTCCTGAGCTCTGGAATTTCAGATGTGTGCCACCATGCCTGTCCTAATTTTGAACTCTTAATGTAAACAATACTCATTTTCAAAATGCTGCTCTTCCTATTTGGAAACGTGCAGAAAATTTTAAGAAACAGTAGACATAACTAATGATATTCTGAAATAATTTATCTACAAACCACTCACCAGTCTTTTTTAGCTACAATATGAATAGTTCCTGGAATTTTCTCTTTTCTATCATTATAAAACTTAATCCTATTTAGACATTTATTCAAAAGGACAGTGATCCTAAGGGTGGCGGAAAGAGAATCTTCCTTTACTACGATGCAACCTTAAGTGGTTAGCCTTGTTGATATGACGGCTATAACCTGTAATTATGATGGCAGACAGGGTATTTATAGATTTCTGCATTAGATACTATAAACAAATATGATTTTAAGTAAGATATAGTATTTCTATAGGCAAAGAAATTAATATCTTAGTATTTACTTAGCATTATCCAAAATTAAAACATGCTTACCTCAACAGCATCAGGTGTTCGACAGTTCTGGTTTGATGCCCCTACACACTCTTTCACTGTGAGGGGGTCCACCAGCCAAAGAGCAACTGTAGATGGCCAGTTTCCTCCTAGGTTGGACACAGTATTCAGAAGAGTCATGTATGTTCCTCCAATAAGTGGATCACTAACCTTCGCATTGAAAGCCATTATAGAGACATACATGCTGTATAATGTAACCTGCAGGAAAATATAAAACATTTTTAGTGTGATGAAAGCATGTTTTTGTTTAGTTGGTTTTTCTCTTTCTGCTGGGGATTTAAGTCAGAGTTTTGTACATGCTAATAAGCGAGTGCTGTACCAGGGGAACGTCTTCAGTCACTATAATTACACTTACAAAACTGACATAAATTAAGAATATCAAGGGCCGGCAAGAGAGCTCAGTGGTCTAAAGCACCTTCTTAGGCAAGCTTAGGCTCATGGAGCACCACATGCTGTGCTAGCCCCGCCACTAGGGTGGGCTGGGCTGGGCACCAAAAAAAAAACCCCAAAAAACAGAAAATCAAAATCGTAAATGGGGGCCGGGGTGATGGCTTGGTGGAATAAGCGCTTCCCTGACAAGCGCAATGGCCTGAGTTCAATCCCTGGTTCCACCAAAAAAAGAAAAAAAAGAATCATAAATGGCAAAATTAATTTTCATGACTGTTACTATATTCAATTCAATAAACACTTATTGAACACATACTAAAAATGAGGGCTTAAGATCATGGCAATACAAAGATGAATAAGGAATCAGTCTTCCCATACTTCTGAAGAATTTATTACAGGCTAGGGAAATAGGGAGTAAATACTTATGTTAAAATGCAGTATCTTGATAATTCTACCATGAGTAGTCAAAGAATGTTCAACAGAAAGTAGCAGGGAAGGTGGCAAGAAGGCTGCAAATAACAAAAAACAAAGTCTGATATTTGTATTGTAGCTACATAAATATATACATTACATACATAATATATAATGTATAAATAATGTATATGCACATCTATTTGTATATGTATTATACACGTAAACACTAAAGGAAATGAATGCATTTTTCTTCCATATATACAGAAGAAAAATAATATTTCAAACTTTATGCGGCAAAGGAATACTAAAAACCTTTATTTTTTTGGTAGTGGCCTCTTGCATTCTAGGCAAGAGTTCTACCACTCATATCCATCCTTAGCCTAAGAAAAGTTTTTTTAAGAGACAAAAAAGTAGCAGGGTGTGGCAGCCCATCCCAGAAATGTCAGCATTCTGCAAGGCTGAACTTGCAGACTCACAATTCAAGAACTTATTTCAAAAGCAGAAAAAGGTGTAGATGTAGTTCAGTGCAGGGGCCCTAGTTTGGTCTCCAGTACTGAAAAAACAAAAAATTGTTTATGAGGCAAAAGTAACTTTCCATTTACAAACACAGAAACAAACCATGTTCCTAAAACAGCATAACTGTACACACTCTTCCGAGAGTTGTGCCAAGAGGAGTTCCAAAGTCAAGTAAGGTGGAGAGATACTAAGTTACACAAAATGTAAAAGGTGTCCTTTTTCTGACAATTTTTAGGATACAAATTCCTTAAGAGAGTAAGCATTTTGCCACAATTTATTCATTTATTGCCCTTTTAAAAGAGTATCACATATTTTACTTTTTGTAAACTGTGTGCTACTTTGTCTCAACAAATTATTTTTTCAATTTTTTAAATTAGTTTACAACTGTTTTGCATGTTTGCAATGCAAAATGGTCACATTCCTCATAAGGAGTTGGTATATATACACAACACATATATATATACACATAATACATCTTAGTTACATTTTTGTACTCAATGGTTTCTAGCATAGAATGGGTGTCCACTTAATATTTTTTTAAAGGACTGATAGGAGCTACTGTTCAAGGAGTTACATAATATATCACTCAAATTTACCTGGCCTTGTACCCCTTTCTCATAAAACATTTAGTTGTTTAAATTTCTGATTACATTTTGGTAAATTCTCTAATGAAATATAAAGCTAAATACATTTTGAACTATGACAACCTAGATTTTATTTTTTATCTAAAGCACTGAAAAATTGACTGAACATACTTCTTTTAACTTCCATTATGTGTGTAGCATTAACAGTGAGCAAAACAAAAACTTTTTGATATCCTACCTCAATTTCAAAAACATATGGTATACAAGAAGAATATATGCAGTGTATTATTTGTTGAAACTGTAAAAAAAAAAAAAAAAAAAAAAAAAAAAAAAACATATGGTATAATCAAACATCCGTTATGGATTGTAATTTCATTGTATGCAAAACAAATAAACTAGTGAAATTAGCTGTCAGTCACATTTTAAGAATGGAGTAAGAAGCAAAATATAACTTTCAAAGGGTTTACACCAGTTTCCAAAGAAAAACCCAAGGTGAAATACATATTAGCAGTAAATGCTACCGAGTACCAAAAATTTCTTCTGGGCTCTGCCATTTACTTGAATCATTTATATCTACAACACCACATTTTTTACTCTGCAATAAGAGTTTAGATGAGGCTAGATTTTATTTATTTATTTATTTATTTATTTTTTTGTGGAACCTGGGATTGAACTCAGGTCCGTGCGCTTGCCAGGGAAGCGTTTATTCCACTGAGCCATCTCCCCGGCCCATAGATGAGGCTAGAGAAAAGTGCAGGTCACTTCTTTTGGGAGACATAAACAGAGAACACAGAAAAAGCAGCTTCCAAAATTACAAAGACTAAATTGTAACTTTCAGTACAGAATCTAAACTAAAGCCTGGGATCTTTAATCTAGTAGCCACGATTATTTCTCAATACTTTCAGGAAGAAAAAAAAAAAAAAAAACTTTCAGGAAGAAAAGATACTAAAAATTGAAGAAAGAGCCCAGATCTAGAGATAGACTGAGGGCTCTTTAGCAAGAGTAAGATTAGTTGGGGCTGGGGAGACAGGTGAGTGGTCTAAGTGCCTGCCTGGTAAGCACAAGGACTCGGGTTGGATCCCTGGTACCACATGCGGTATAGGCCATGGAAAGGGGGGTGTGGTGGCGCATGCCTGTAATCCCAGAGCTAGGGAGGCTGAGACAGGAGGATCATTACAAGTCTGAGCTGTGTTGTGAGACCCTGTATCAAACACACAAACAAACAAACAAACAGAGTAAGATTAGTTGCTTTGAAATCAATTCTAGTATGTAAAAAATTCTTGTTGAAGGAAAAAATTTTAAAGGAATGAATAAGAAACTCCCTTTCCATAAACAGAACTCATGGAATCAAAAGCCAAAGGCTTATATAGTTCATCATCAAATAATTTTCTATGTCATAATCATGTTTAAATCTTAAAATTATTACTTGAAGGCAGCTGTAGAACAATGTCTTCAATACAAAACAGTTTACCTCCTGAAAGCCACAGTAAGCTTACCTGATGTAAGGCATAACTCAGCAGCACTACAATATAGTAATATATAGGGAATCCTCCTTGATGCTCTACTTTAGGAGTCCACCAAACTAGCAGAGCATATTCTAATCCAAACAATAATCTATAGAAAAAGGAGCATTATATTAATTTTCATTTTAGGTTAAACAACAACAAAACAGAAATCTGTGTGCCAATCATAAGAAAGAAGCCTGTCTCTAAAACCCGTTAGGAGGTTAAAGAGATTAACATGCGTAGAGACGACACTGACATTAAGGATGTTCTTCAAGCCTTTTTCTGTATACATTCTACACACTCAGATGTTAGTACTAATGATGATTGTTCTGCATTTTAAGATTTCTTGCTTCAGTACAGTTTTATTTAGTATTTACCTGTAAGGCATGGCTTTATAAAATATGTTTAGTGGCTGGGGACCTGCAGTGTATTTGCTGATAATCAGAGGTAATATTATCTGCAAAGGAACCATTGGAACTGCAAGTAATGCTAAATGTTCTTTAGGTACTCCCTCTTCTACCAGTTTCAGTCCTGTTACTGCGTCTGCTGCTGAAAAACCAATCTGAAACATAAAAACAAAAAAGTATTTTAATTTGCGACTTATGAAATATTTTCCTATAAGTATTCCTTAAGAGTCATCAATTTCACTGTTGACTCAAGACAGTTACAAGCATCATACTATTATATTGGATAAAATAAATTATAGAAGGCACATACTATACTATGTCTTAACCAGTGATATTTAGTAAAAATAACAAAAATTTCATTACCTGTATTTATTGTAGATGGTTTAATTACAACTAAATTTGTACTTCAAAAAAGTCCAACCTGTTATAATAAAGTGTTAAAAATTCACACCAACTGATTTGTATATTTTAAATTTAAAAGTGTTTAATTAGCCTTAAGTAATTCTGGTTAAGTGTCATTATATATATATAATGTGTACATGTGTGAAAATTTCTAACAGTTCATAATATTATAATAAAATTTCCTAAGGTCATTCAATAGATGTTGTAAAAGTAATTCTAAAAACACTATTGCAGAGGTTGAATAAAATGAGGAAGAGGAAATGCTATAGTTAATTTTTATTAAAAAATAATAAAAAGGATGATGAAATAATGGGTAAAAATTTGAACTAAATGAGATATTTAGGTAGTCTCAAAGTATCTACTCATAAATGAGTGGATTTTCAATGTTTTGTTTTGTAATACTAGGGATCAAACCCAGGAAAGGGTACAGTAGACAACTGCTTTACCATGAAATTCCACTCTCAGTCCAAATTAAGTTTTTGATTACAAAAGACAAAACTATTTTTTGCAATGGACTAACAAAGTAAAAAGTGAAGGACAATAATTGGGCTGGGGAGATGGCTCAGTAGAATAAGTGCTTCCCTGGCAAGTGCAAGGGCCTGAGTTCAATCCCCAGTTCCACA